ATGAACTTTTTTTATTTAAATTTTAAGAATCTGTAGAATTCAAATAAAGAATTTTCATCGAGTTTGGTTTTGTGCGTGACGAGATATCTTCGCTCAAAGTTTATAAAAAACTTATTTTGATAGATGTTTTGAGTTTTGAATTTTTTAAAACTTTGAGCGAAGATATCTTGACAACCACCAAGCTAAATTTGATAACCATTTTTTTATTTGGATTTTGTAGATTAGTAGAATTTATATAAAAAAAAGTCCATCAAATTTATTTGGTGGCTGTCGAGATAACTTCGCTCAAAGTTTAAAAAATTTTGATATATAGGAAGGTATGAATAGCAAATCTTTAAAATTTTTAGCCAATAAAATTTCGGTTATGTGTGATGATCATCATGTGACTGCCGATTTTTCAGGCACGATTAACCTACTACAAAATCATCGTTGCGAAAACGCGTCAAAATACTGCGGAACCACTTGTTGTCAACCTGCAGAAGCATGCTGCGGAAATAGTCTGTGCTGTGGTCCAACACAAATATGTTATGGGAGTACATGATGTAATAAACCATAACTTGTGGTAATTCTGGTGCTTGTCCAACTGGTTACTAGTGTTTCAATAAATTAAATTTCCTAGCTGATTTTTATCTTGAAATTTTAAATTTATATTTAAAAATTTTATTTATCATTTTGTGACTCACCCCACTTTGGGATCAGAAGATCTTTATTTTTAACATCAATTCGGTTTTTGTTTCGCCTTTTTTTTTGCTGAATACAAAATATTTATTGTGGCAGCTGAAGCTGAGTTCGGCTGAAGCGGAGATTTTAAAACATTTTAATATTAAATTTTAACATTTTTGGGGCCTTTTGTTAGGGGTTTTTTTAGGGTTAGGGTTTAGGGTAGTTTATTAATAAAAAAGTATAAATGAATTTTAGTAGGTATTGTAGATTTAAATAGAGGCCCCCAATTTCTGCTTCAGCCGCCATACTACGATGAGAATTGTAGTTAACCTCGTACTAGCTTTTACATTTTGTCATTCCGAAACTTCCAAATCGATGCCTACATATTTTATATTTTACTGTATCTATCAAAAGATTTAATTACTTAAAAATCCATAATAAATTATCTATAAGACAATGCAAGAAATCGAGAGTTCGGATCCTTGAGTATTCTTAAAAGCTTATTCAATGAATATTCATGAGTAGGGTCCGTAATGGACTGAGCCGGGTCGGTTATGTCTAGGCCCGAAGCCAGCCCGCTAATTTGTAAACCCGACTCAGACTGGCCCAAATTATACAGGTTTGAAAATTTGAGCCCAGGCCGGGCCATCACTAATGTTTACGTAGGTTTGGGCCTAAGCCTTCCCAAGACTGGCTCAATTGATTGCGGGCTTAAATATCTGGATCCAGGCCCGGTAATTGCGGTCTTATTCATGAGCCTTAGTTATCTAAGAATAATATTGTATAGATATCCATATTTTTTGTTAAATATAATGTTCATTGAATACAAAATTATACATCTTTTTATGTAGAATTATGTAGAATTTCATTGAACTTTATATAAAACTTTATTTAATTATACAAACTCAATGTAGAATTTATATACACAGGTAGAACAATAAACCTTTTTACAGGTATTCGTTCGAAGATCTTTTAGTGTGATATGCAGCTTTTACAAATATTTTCTCAACTATCAGACCGTGTAACATAAAATCGAAGAAAATAAAGCTATTTTAAAAAATGCTTATAACTCGTAATTTTACTTATGAAACTACTTTTGATATCTTAACGAAAAAAGTTCCTTGTGAAATTTTGAGGTAAAGGCGGTCTTTGCTACTTCTCTATATTTACTTTAATACTAACCCCTATCCTAAATTATACGTTTCAGTTTGTTCAGATCTCATGTTATACATAATCTTATAGGATGCGTTATAAAATTTTTAGAATACCACTATAAAAGTTGCACATTACAATAGAAGTTTTGTGCATATAAATTTCTTTGAAAACTGCTAGAAAAGGTAATATCTAACAAAGGTTTTCTATCATAATAGATTTGGAAAATTTTATAGTTTTACCTGTGATAGTTATGTAGATAAATATTAAAGTTAAAATTGAATTTTAAAATTTAGTTTAGGTTTGGAAAAGGTTTTCTAGCATGCTGAACATTTTTCCTTATTGTATCGAATACTAATTACCTTAGTCACTCTTGAATAGCTACAGTTAAGTAAATTAAATTATTTTATGTAAATATATATAAAGACATTAAGATTTATATTTACAATATTATATATTATAAAATACGACAGTAATTAATGTCGCGGATCATAATGAAATCGGATTAAAATGAAATGAGGATTTCTATTTAACTCTCTAAAATCCATTTATACTTGTTTATTATAAACTCTACTCTAAAGCTAATCTCTAAATCTAACCCCTAAATCTAAAAAATGCACCTCAAAAAATTTTTTTTCGATGGCTTGTCTATTTTTTATATTGTACAATATTTCATTTTAATCCAATTTTATTTTAATCCGCCACAATTAATGAGGCTCTTGGTTGGCCTGGTTGGGACACAATCTGAATTAAGCCCAACTCAGGATTGACTACTTGGTTCAAGCTTGACCCAGATCTGACCAGCCTGGAATAATAGACACAACCAGAACCTGACCATCTGGATTCAATCCTGATTCAGGTTTGACCTGCTTGGGTTTAAACCCAACCAATTCAGGTTTGACCCGTTCTAAACAAACCAGTAATTAATATTAATTTCCTACAAAATCTAGTACGCAATTTTGGATGATTTTATTACCAAAATAATTCTCAATAAGATGATTCTAATGAACCTAAAATTATGAGATAATTAAAAACTCGTGTTATTTTTACTAAATACAGTAAAATAATATATCGCATAATTAGGTTTTGGTGATTGGAATCATCTTAATAGAATAACCATTTTAGCAGCAAAATTATTCAGATTGGATTATGAATCAAAAATTATGAATTTTAAAGATTTTTATATAATACATTTTTTAATTGGCTAATATATTTCTTACATGAGGGAAGGGATTAGCCACTATCAAAAATATATTATTTGGTCCGTAACACTCCTTATAAATTAAACCAAAAAATTTCATACATATCAGCTAAATTATTTACTTTAGCAAAATTTTTAGATTTTAAAAAACAAACTTACTTATAATACACTTTGCAAACTAAACTAAAAAAAATTTAACTTGGCAAAATTACGTATTTCACTCTAATTTCTCTACAACACTAATTTATAATTTATTTATATTATCAACCTTTATCTAAAAAATGTTTTTGTATTATTGATACAAAATTATTTTACTCTGATTTCTTCCAAAACTAATTTATAGTTTATTTATATTAAGGTTTATTATCAACCTTTATTTTAAAAATATTTTTTCACAATCACTAATGCAAAATTATTTTAATATAAAATGCATATTTAATCAAATGATTTGATAATTATTAAATAAATTTTCATTTCCTGAATTCAAATTTCAATAGTCTTATTCTTCAAATTTGATAAAGTTCAGTAAACTTAAATCATCTTTCCTAATAGATCATCATATTTTTAAATCTTCTACCATTTATAGCTGAAATGTGATATCAAAAAAAAAAAAAATGCAAATATAATATTTATACTGCACGTAATATATTCATTACAAAATCACACACACCTAAATTTATACTACCATTTATTTTGCTTTCTTCCCTGAAGTCGTCTTAATTTTCCGTTTTTTAACTGCTTTAGGTATTTTATGTTTACGTTTCTCTCTTGCCTCTTCTTTAGCTATTTTCTTTCGTTCCTATAATCAAAATGAAAAGAAAAGCCGCTTATAAATATATGGAAACGTTCTTTTCTTCAAGGGACGCGTCAGGTATTGGCTGAGATCAACTATATATCTCATCTTCTGAAATAATTCTGATCAGGCTATATGTATATATATTTAGATCTGTAATTTTCCATTCTCCTCTCACCCTGCGATAATCAGCTAATATCTGACACTTCCCAAACACGAATACTTATGCAGACTTTTTTTGCATCTTTATCTTCATTCCTCTTCCCTCTAGGTTGCTTTTTAAATGTTAATTCATCATTATCATCATTTGAACATTGCTCATCATCATCAGATTCACTATCTTCTAAATCATTTTTATCTTCATCTTCAGATTCTTTCTGATCATTTAATTCTTGCGCAATATCTTTTGAAACAATGGCAGTCTGACTTTCGTCTTCTATATTATTATGATCACCAGATTGTTGTTTTTTGTCATCAATAGAAAGCCCAGTGAGCTTTCGATAAATCAACTAAGAGTCAAAATATTTAATGTTAATAAGTTGTATTAGCAGATAATAACTTACTATGGACGTAATATGCATAATTAAACCATAATATTTACATTCTCGCCTTCACCTTGAGCTACTTTCATTACATCTCTTTCGACATCTATAACATCATCTAATTTTCTTGGAATAAAAGATCGTTTAAAAACTTCTTCATCAACAATATCTTTCTGCAGCTGTTCTTGTTGCTCATCAGTTAGTGCTTCATTTGATTGTTGTAAAGTTAACCTCTCCTGAATCTAAATATCATATATGTTAAACATAAAAAAATAGTGCATTCAAAAATTATTGAAACTTACTTTTTCTAATTCTGCTTCAACTTTTTCATCTTCTATGCCAATGTTAATGTCGGTAATAAAATCAAATAATTCCTTGACACTCATTACTCTTACACCTTTTTTCTTAAAATAATCTGTAACATTTGTACAATCCTTTCTCAAAAATTCAAGGGCATGAGGATGGTCATGCTCTACTGATTGTGATACATCAATGATATATAGTGTTCGTGCATTATATCTATAGATGAATAATTAATCATATAATAAATTTATATTTACAAAATTTTATAATAAGAAGAGTTAAATAGATATGGGCATACAAAAGATTGTATTCACTAAGATCAGCATGGACAAGGCGACATTTATGATACATAGTTCGCATATTCTTGACAAGCTGATAATACAGTTCCGGATATTTATCAGAGCTAATAACAGCATCCTTCAATATAGGATACGCCCTTATTGAAAAAATATTAATCAGAATTGTTTAACACAAAGAAAAGCATGTAGATAAACTTTATCAAATTTTTAGTACCATCCATTCTTATCACCTAAAAAGCCCATAACCAAAACATGTAATCTCAAAACAAGAGGCTCGGGACAAGGTATTCCCGCTTGCCACAATCTTTTCAAATTTCTCATTTCTTTTTCCGCCCATAATTTGACCATCTTACGAGGATTGTGTTTACTATATCCATGTCTAAACCGGAATTCACCCGTAACGTAACGATCTCGATCTTTAAAAATAAGAATCGAGGTTTTGTAAACCTTTATGGCTCTATGATCCCCACTTTCTGTAGTTGCATGATATACATTAGCCTATGATATGAAAAACATGTATCAGATAAAAATATATATAGTTATTGTTATAATAAATTTAGATTAATATGATAGCTAACTAATCACCTCTTTCCCAGTACTGACACAACCATTTATCTCATAAATAATATTACGATTGATCATTTTAAAAAGAATTATTCTTGTGCGCGGATCTAAAACTTGTTCTGTTGTTGCACGATCAGATTTATCACTGTATTTATGTCTGTGAAATTAAAAGTAACTGATCAGATTACGTAAATAAAAAATGGAATTTTTCTAAGATTTTATCAAAAGAATTACTATTACTTACCTAATACTTTGAGCTTTTTTGTCGCTCATCTTAATATCATTAACAACTGATGTCGATAGATGGCTTGAAGAAATTTCCTCTTTAAAAAATAAGAAAAATTTAGGAAAATTGGGTTATGTAATTGAACCAAGATTTGAGAGACCTACCAAGATTAATCCTATTGGCATATTTGCTCAAAGACCTCATATAATCATGAGATTTAATATTTGTCCCATTTTTTTTGGTGTCATCATGCTTTAGCATTGATCCACTTATATTTTTATTTTTCACAGGTGCTGCAATAGTAATTTTTTGTGTAGTTGACCCAGATATGATATTGGACTGTAGTTGTTGCCTTAGACGATTATACTGTTTAGTGAAATCTAAAAGGGTAAACTTAAAAATTTGAAAAAAAAAAATCACGAATTAAGAAAAAGACATTTAATATTAAATTAAGATCATACCTCCACTTGGATTTTCCCATTCCTCGTTATCATTTAATTCATCAAAATAATCTTCTTCCTCTTCCTCTTCAAACGAGAAATCATTTTCTAAATCATTTAATACCGTAATATCACTTTCTAAGTCATTTTTTTGCCCCTGTTTGTTTAATGTACACTGTTCAGAAGTATCCTCACATGCGTCGTCAAATTGACCTGGTTCGTATTTTGGAACATAAACTGGTTCATCTGACATTGTAGGTTGAAAAAATTTTGAGATTGATATAATCAGATCAATTTGATTGGTTATTATTAGCATTATAAAACGTCCATCGTACACGTGATAACCCATACTTGTCACGAAATGTCCCGGGCGACACACATTTTAAAGAGCTAAAAATTAATTTGCATCTCAAAATAATTCCCGGGGTGACGGTACGTTAAAGATAACATATTTGTATTATATTCATTATTTTATCGTTATGTTACATATTATACTTTAATTGCAGGATTTCTTATTTTTACTTTTTAAGCAGTATTTTTTTTAAGCTAGCTACTTAAAGCATTTTAAATAAAATAAATACAAGCAATGCGTAAAAAGACATAAATGAACTTAAAATATTTTGTTACCTAGCAAACTCATAAGATTATATACAATTTTGTCATATTATACTAGAAATAGTGAAACGAAGTATATGGCCTTTCAAGCCAGAAAATTTTCGAATACAAATAGCAAAATTTACTAAATAAAGCGAAATAAGAAAGTTCAAACATGTTAAATAATAATCATTCATCAAAAACAACCTAATGCTCATTAAATGCTTCTCTTAACATGCTTCACTCTTATTCAATTAAGTTTATACTTCCACTATTTAAAGGTTTATGTTTCATGAAACAAAGTAGGGTTTTTAATATTGGTTTGACTAACATATATTCCGTGATAATTGAATAGTTACTAGAACATATATCATAATTTTTATTTAAAGGTCAAAAGGTAATTTTATACATCAAAGTTAATAGTGAAGGTCTCCACGATTAATTAAGTGTAATAAAAAAAAAAAATTTACACGTGATAATTACATGCAGCATGCGAAGAACTTTCATTATCCATAGCGATAGCAAATACATGTAGAAATTAATAGTCTTATTACTGCAATTTCTAACCTTGTATTTTGAAATATGTACATTGCATATTCGACGATGAAACGAATCCCGGAAATACAGACGTAGATAAAAGTCACGAGCAATATTTAACCCTAACATTGAAAGACTTCAACATCGATGCTGAGAAGACTTGATCCGAATAATTAGGGTCAATATGATTAGAATTATGGATCCATACAAACTCTATTCTTTACTAATCAGCTAATCAGGGTAGTGACAGATACTGTATTACGTAATATCTTGAGGGTACACTCTAGGTTGGCCAATGGACCACCATCATAGTCCATTGCCAACCCTGGGTACACTGACATCTTATGTTAGATATGTAAATTTATAATGGCCAATCAAATTTCTCTTATGTGGAAAGAGAAATATGATATAATTCCGTCACTACCTTTAGCGAAACTATTTAAATCAAGATCTTGGTAGAATTATTCTTTATTAAGGTAATTTTGCTTCTTCATATATATTTATTTCTAAATAAAAATTTTTTCGTCTATTCTTCAAGTCAAGTGCAGTTCCGCGAAGAATAATTCGACCATTCAAGTGAATTATCGAATCTATGAATCAGGAATCTATTAAAAATGTAAATTTGTGATTAGCTAAAAATTAAACTATCCAATTGTAGCATATTATGTATAAAGTTCTAATACTGAATGTTTTTTAAGCTTTGATTAAAAATTTCTCAATAAGGGCCGTCGATCTCAATGTTTAAACCCATTTTCGAATTCTACTAGTCTATAGAATTTGAAATATCGACAAAGAATAGAAATTGTCAAGATAATTTCACGTAGAGGAAACAAATTTAATATTTTTTTATTGTTGCTTGATCAGACAGTTACGATAGTATAAATGGACATTATAGTAGAAAATTGGAATAATTATTATTTTTAAACAGAAATTTGTTAAAAAAATCTGGGTTTCTATGTGATGAGTGATTGTAATCTGAGAAGCACAAAAATATATGTCAATAGAATAGCGCTTATATTATTATATTATTATTATTATTATTATTATAAGATACCATCGTTATTAGCTATTCCCTTTTTTTTTTGCTGCATTATTTATGATCAGCATAATTGACAGCAAATTATAGCTTTAAAAATAATAAAAACCATAAAAAGAATTCCTTGCACATATTCACCTAATTTTCCAAAACTTTTAAAAAAACTATGGGATGACTGTGTATAATTCAGTTTATAAGAATTGCTATTAACTTGTTTATCACGATAAATATATAGAAACAGGCAAGCTATAATAATGCTAATTGCTAGTAAAATACCTAGACCCAAAGGAAGAAAGACTGTAAATACTATGCCAAAGAGAATGGATGGTAAAAATTTGGCTATGCCACTTAAAGTAATAAATGAAACTAATCCTGTCAAACCAATCAAAGGCATTATTCTATACCCGTATTCATTTCTGGCACTGTTTGCATACCATGTGTTAATATCTTTCTGTTCTTTCAACCAATATTCCAAACGGTTATTTTGATATTCTGATATAAAAGGAAATGTTAATTGTGTTAATTTCTCCCACTTTCTTGCATGTAAGTGCGCTCCCAGTATCACGAAAGGAATTGTTGATACTATAAGAGGTAATACAAATGCTGCAAAGGGAAGCCCTATAAGACCTGTAACTAATGAGACAATAGTAAATATGGTACTGAATATCATCGCAAGATCTTTGGTTGCATAAATGCCCCAAGCGATTGCCACTACATTAGGGTCATTTGATTTTACGAGTCCTCTTTGGTAGTTTTGGTGACCGAGTATAAAATAAGGTAGGTTCTTTCGGCAGGCGATTAGATCATTCACAATACCGTAGCTAATAGCAACAAGATAAACTGTACCTCCTGCAAACCAGGCATTTATAAGCACACTCAAAATGGAAGGCACATCTATAAAACTTTTAATGGAAAATGCAACCACTCCCAGAATCGCAATGCAAGCAGCAATTACACCTATGTTCATGTTATTCTCCATTTCTTCATTGAGTTCACCTTGCTGAAGATATGGAGGTAAGACTTTATTGTCGTCCATTTCTTTTATTGAGTTCACCTCAGAGTCTGAAATTAATTTTTAAATTAGCTGCGGATCCGCAACCAAATAAAAAACTACTTACGGCACATTAACATTTATTCTAAATTTATAGGTAAAATCTATAAATTTATATGCGGAGTCCGTGGACTACAGACTCCGCAACCCAATTTTTGGCACCCTTCTGATTGGATATACGAAGATGCTATTTCTGATTGTACAGTACAAAATAGGTAAATTACAGGATCCGGTATTAGAGTTTGGAACCGGTTTTATTTTTCTTATGTTAAACCTGGTTTTAATCGGTTTAACATATGAAAAATAAAACCGGTTCCAAACTCTATCTGGTATAACATAAAAATGACGAAAAACATCGATTGCTTGTAACTTTACTTATAAAACCACCTTTCATATTTTAATAAAAAAATTCCTTACAAAATTTAGTGGCTATGTCTTATTTTGCCTTAATATCGGGACTAATAATATGTTAAATATTTATGTAAAGTTTGAAATGTACTTATTAGAGTTGCAGGTGAAATTAATTAATTTCACCAGGTGAAACTGGTGCACCATAATAGCCAAATTGGTGAAACTGATGAAATGGTGGTAATGGTGATGTTGGTGAATCTGGTGATTTTGGTGAAACTAGTGATATTGGTGAAACTGATGATATTAGTTAAACTGGTGATATTGGTGAAACTGTTGATATTAATACTAATCATCATAAAACATTTTACTATTAATATAATGCCAATACGTAGTATATTTAAAATAAGTCACCGCTTTCAAGATAATGCAATAAGCAAATTTATTAATCCTTTGAATTTTGTATATTACTATTGTTTAGCGATGATAAATTACAGAATTTATAGAATGCACAAAATTTGCTTATTGCACTAATTTGAAAGCAATAATAAAACTAGTAACTGATTATGGAAAATTTCAAAGTTTAGTCCAGATTAATTTGAATAACGTACCGGTATTCAAATAGCATGAAATTATAATTGTTTTCAGTTGTTGAATTAGTGCAATAATTCAAGTTGACATAGAATCAACAGATCGAGAAGATGCTAAACATGTTGATACGTCTATCAGCTATTTTTAATATCTATTCCGGCGTAATATATTATTAGGGTTAGCATTAAAAAATTAAAATGGATTGGTATGATATTTTTTTAAAGAGATATTTTACACACTATACTATATACATCTTAAATTTTACGAAATTTCTTGTTTGTTTAATTATAGCATCTCATATCTATATAATTATGCAGAAATATTAATATAAGTGATCCTTTAATTAATAAAGAGTTTAATGTTCTATTTTTACGAAATTTCTTGTTTGTTTAATTATAGCATCTCATATCTATATAATTATGCAGAAATATTAATATAAGTGAT